GCTTGTTTGCAAATGCTGGCCACACCAACTGCTGCTGCTGCTGCTGCTGTTCAGTCACCACCACCACCATCATTATCCGAGCTAATTTTAGAATATTCTTTGAGGAATCAAAAGCTATCACCACCGTCTGCTGCTGCTGCTGCCCCTGCACTTGCTGCACTGAAGCCTGTGAATATGATACATTAGTGTGCCTGGTGCAGTAGAACTACACACGCTGTCTACACTCCACTTTTAATTGCCGAGGGCAGAGAATGAAGGGAAAAATGAATGACAGACAGACAGATGGAAGAGAAAGTGGACCAGAAAAGTCGCCTACAACTTCTCTCTCTTTCCTCATGCGGAAATATTCCCACACACGCTAATGGCAGTGGTGGTGGTCGTACATTTGCGACAAAAAAGAGTCCCCTCACTTTCGTTGGCCTTGGAAAAAGGAGCAGCAGAATATTCAATCAGATTGGCCTGACAACCATCTCTCTTACTCTTTTTCTCTGTACTACTAACATCTTTCGATCGACTTCAATCGATTAGTGCGCAGAGGAAAACAGTACTGCTGCTGCTGCTGCATCTCAGAAAGAGCACTGTGAGACTGTGTTTTCATGTCATTGTTCATGCTCAAGGGGAAAAGAAACAGCTATACGAAAACAACAAAAAGCTATACTGCCTGCCATTGTCTGATGCGGCAAATGTTTAAAATTCTGACACAGAACTTTGTTTCTTGGGGGAACGGAAAAAACGGCACAAACTGAGAACAGTTTGTGCTGCTGCTGCTGCTGCAAGGACAAACTCTGCGGGGACGCAAAAGAATGAGAGAAAAAACTCGGCCAGTCAATCGATATCTTCCAGCAGCACCAGAAAAAACTGATGGCAAACGGTTTCTGTGCGTTGGACAGAAAAAAGTGTTTAGCACAGCAGCAGCAGCAGACGTTGAAGGAAACAAATGAACCTTACTTTTCTTTCCTTCTGGCTCCGTCGACACAAAAGAGGGAATATATTCTGAGAGATTCTTAATTCCTCGATAATTAGTCAAAAACAGAAACCAGAGAATTAAGTCTGCTGCTGCTGATGCTGCTGTCCCCTTCAGTGCAGACATAAGTTCTCCTAATCTAATCTAATCTAATCTAAGCAAACTGAGAAAGCTCAGCCCTGTTCAGAGATGCAAAAGAGAGCAGGGAGAAAACAACAAGCAAGGAAAAGAGGGGCAAAACGCCAGATGCACTCGAATGACAAATCGAAAAGTCATTTACAAATTGCACAAACAAGATGCAAACACACAAACATCGACAAAGGGGGTAAAAGCAGAAAAAGAAGGAAAAAGCGAAACTTCCGCAAAAACTAGGCAGCAGCACTAAATAAAAGAAGCAGTCTATTCTTGTCAAAAACATGGGGGAACACACAAGGGCAAACAAACACTTAGATTTAGATGTCATGTTTTTTAAAAGTTGCTCCAAGAGGGAGAGATTGATTTGATAGACTGAAAAAAGAAAATATCGCTGACAAAAACATCCCTTCTCATCAATATTTTAAAATTGACGTGAAAATGCCACCTACTTTCACTTACTTACACACCTGAAAACAAAAATAGTCGGAAAAAGCTAAGGAAACAGAGCTAAAATAAAATTGATAAATTCGCAGTATTTTGTTCATGGTAACAGTCTAAAAAACGATATGTTTCAAAATAGAAAAAACACTTCCCTTGCCTTCAGTGGAATTTGATTTGAGGACACATCACACACACACACACATGCTGTGTGTGCCCGTGTGATGTCATCGCCAAATCTGTACGTCAAAAGCAGCAGCAGCAGCTCATCAGTCCCCAAAGAGACAAAGTGTGTAGGCACACTGGTAGTAGTGTATTAAATTATCTCCAATTTTCTCCAAATAAAAAATGGACATTTTGAAGCTAAAGATGCAATGCTGAAAAATGCTACTTTTTTTATGTCGCCAATGTTTCGCGAGAAAGGACACTTTGCTGCTTCTGCTGCTGATGCTCACTCAAATTGCACAACACATTTGCCTATTACACATTAAAGTCGTCGTCGTCGTCTAGCTCTTAATTAACTGAGCGCCTTTATTTACTTTAGCAAGAAGCGGTCCTCTTAGCTTCCTCCTCGGAGCTACAACTTCTAAGTTTTTTAAAGTGTCTGTGTGTCTACTACACATTAAAATTAAGTGCAATTCAAAAGTTTGCCTCTGTGTGTACACAGTGACTTCACAGACACAAGTCAAAACACGGCTGCTAAAAAGTTTTTTTTGCTAGAAACGGCGGCGGCGGCAACTCGGCAATTGAGATGTAAGTGTCTCATTTTCTCTAATTAACTAATGAGACACAGTGAAAGAGCGTGCGTCACTTTCAGCCGTTGCACAGCCACTTTTTAAAGCCACTTTCACACTCGTTACCACTCTCCACTTTAAGAAAGAAAGAAAGCAAAAAATGAGCGAAAATGGAAACACACAGACAAACTCACAGACACACTTGAAAGCGAGATTGACGTGTATGTGCAAGACAACGAAAGAATAGGAAAGAATAGAAAAGAAAGAAAGGAAAGAAAAGAACACATACCTCGCCGTTGAAGAAGCAGAAGAGCATTGCCACTGCGAATCCCTGGAAGAAGAAGAAGAAGAAGAAAGTGAAAGTGGAAATAAAGAAGAAGAACTGATGTGAGCACAGATGATGAATAATTTAATAATCTCATTATCTCCCATTTTCGGTGCGTTGTCAAGTACTACTTCTACTTCTCCGCTTTCAAAGCAGAGTCCTCTCCTTCTATGCCTTTTAGCATTCCTCCTCCTCCTCATCTCATCATCTAATTAATTAATTAAAACTTTATGATTTATCGGGCACACTTGAAGAGACGAGCAAAGGAGACAAGATCTTCAGCAGAAAAGAGCGGCGGCAATCAAAGAGGCAGCATGAAAACTACCCTGAAAATGGCTGGTGATAACTGCTGCTGGAGAAGGCCACTAATGTACCCTAGATAGAAACACATGCACACATTTGCCGTACCACACCTTAAGAACCGCAGTAATCAGGCAGATAGCAGAAAGAAAGAAGGCAGTCATGTCTAAAGTAGAGCAAAGTCTCTAATGATAAAAAAACTACCTCCTCAAATCTAATTACGGCAGGCGATATAATTTTTTTTGGAGCTGCAGAAGAGGAGATTACGCGGCGAGCAGCAGCAGCAGCAGTTTCCTTCAACCAGCTAGCCAAGCAACTAACTAAATTGACAACGCCGCCGCAAATGAGCAGGAAATGAGAAGAAAAAAGATGGAAAAAAGTAAGTTTTGGTACGTACCTGTAAGGAGGAGACGAGAGCGGAGAAGATCTCGTACACCTGCGCCGTCATGCCGTTCGTTTCCGGGCGAAAGGGCGTGAGAATGAAGTGCAGCCCCAGCAGGGGAATGAGTATCAGCGTGGCGCGGACGGCTTTCCTGTGTGGTTGATTGTGATTGTGATTTGAAGGTTCGGTTGTTGATTCGTTTGTGATGTTGATTTGGTTTGTGATGTTGATTCGTTGTTACAAACAGCAAGGTAAAAGTCAGTCGAGTGAAAGCATGAACAGGCAAAGAAGAGGAAAGATTAGAATTAGAATTAGGCTGCAATCAAACATCGGCAAACATTGCCGCATGCATGAACTCCTCTTTTCCCCGCATTCTCCCGCATCACCTCACACACACACACACACACACACACATTTACCTCGTCTGGTGAGTGTCGGCAGTGTTGACCGCCTGCAGCTTCGTTATCAGCACCCGGACAATGTTGATGAGAAAGAAGATGTTCAGCTGTGTGTGTGTGTGTTTGTTTGAAGAGAGGGAGCATCAGCAGCAGCAGAGAAGAAGAAGAGGAGAAGGTCGTCATCAACGGCAGTACAATAGGAAGAAAGGTAAATAGAAAAGCAAAGATGAAGCGTTAGAGAGCACGGTTGAATGGCCGCACAAGTAGCGACGGTGGCGGCGGTATTTGAGAGATTGTTTGTTTATCGCCGCTTTTCGCTTGGCAGACAGATAGGGCACAGGCAGATACTGACCACAAAGGACATGACCACGGGCACATTCAGTATCCAGGTGTACTTGCTCTCGTCGATCCAGCAGCTAGGAGGAGGAAAATCATATGATTAGAGTAAATAGGGGCTACAGCAAATCGTCGCTGTTAGGGTGAATGTGATTTGAATGCAGTACTCCAGAAAACAAGGTAAATATTAAGGCAACGAAAGAGCAACAAAGTAACAACAACGGTGCAACCTCAAAATTCAAAACAAACAACCTCGGTTCAGCCTATTCTACAAAAATCTGAAGAATTTTTTCCTCTTTTTCTCTCTTCAGGACAACTTCAGTACAACTCACTTGGCAGTGTCGGGCGAGTTGCCCCGGAGGAGGGCGTAGGCGGCGACGAAGACCGCCGGTATGCCCCAGCCGATGAGGTAGAACCACTTGAGGATCTTCTCCTCGGAGACGAAGGCCACCACGAGGATGGTGTGCAGGTAGAGGCCCTCGCAGAACATCCAAAAGTAGTTGCAGAGGAGAAAGTAGTGCAGGGCGACGTGCAGACACTGACAGTAGAGGCCGTTCTCGGAGAGCATCGTCTGGTCGGTGATGGCGAAGTACCAGATGATCCTGAGAAGAGATGAGATTTAAAATGGCGTTTAGAAGTGATGATAATGGTGGTGAAAACCTCTAAACTTACCACATAAAGTTGTTGATGATGAAGCTGACAAAGAAGTTCTTGTGAATGCGAATGCGCGTTTGTGAGGAGAGTGACCTGGGATGATTTTATTTGGTAATGTTTAAAAAAGCTTTAAAAGTAAAAAACTCACTTGAAGCTAATGAAGATGCTCAGCGAGATGAGCAGCGCCAGCAGCGAGATCGAGTAGCCGGCAATGTGAAAGTTGATGACCAGCTTGCGAAACTGTGTTAAAAAAATTTGTTGAATTAGAAAGCCTATTGACTGCCAAAGTGTCCTCTCCATTAGTGAAACAAGTGATTTATGAAACAAACAAAAAGTTTATGCAGAAAACAAAAAAAGGACACAACTGCCATAATTTCATTTTGGAATTATTCTTGAATTACTTTCCTGCTTTTCATATCTGCCAGTGCAGCAGCAGCCTAATTAGCAATTTAAAAAAATAGAGAATGCAAATTCAAGGAAGAACTGGGAGCAGCTCTCGAAAACAACAACAAAAAGAGAGGAGAGGAGAGGATGCTGGCTAATTTTTGTTGTTTTTGCTGAAGTAGAGAATGTTCCACATCACATTCTTCAACCGAAAAATGTTCCATTATTCTGCCTGCTGTACAATTCTACAGTTGTACAGTTGCACTGACGGAAATGGCCGCTGCTGACGTCCGTCGTCCATTTTTTTGGTTGCTGCTGCTGCTGCATTTGAAGCAATTCAGAGAAGAATCCAAGCAAGCAAGCCAACAGTGGTTTGAAACGGGCTAATCGTAACACACACGAATTTACTTCTACAAGAACCGGGCAAAAGACAAGCGCAGGCAAGGAAATAAAATAAAATAATAGAGCAAGTGCACAACTGCTGCAGCAGCAGCAACACAATGGCCTCTTCTAATGAAAACACTTGCACACAGTTGTACTCACTACTCGGTACACTTTCGGTAATTAAATTAAATTATTAATAATCACAGAAGAGAACAGTCTTCTGAGGGAGGACACTCTCTGGCAGCTTGCTGTGATTTGTGCTCACTCAGGCCAGATTTGTGTGACAGAAACACCGAGCTGTCGAAGTGCAACTTGCACCGAAGTACAAAACAATGCACTCGCCCTACTANGTCTTCTGAGGGAGGACACTCTCTGGCAGCTTGCTGTGATTTGTGCTCACTCAGGCCAGATTTGTGTGACAGAAACACCGAGCTGTCGAAGTGCAACTTGCACCGAAGTACAAAACAATGCACTCGCCCTACTATTACTGCCTACAACATGCGTGTTATCAGCCGAGGACAACACACACACTGAACTAAAATAGAAAGCTGAAAGTGGGCAATTGAAATGGCTAATGTAAAAGCTGCTCAAGTGCTGAGGAAGATGATGAATGACCACCACCACCAGCACTCTCAAATGGGACAAAATAAATCCCCAAACAATTAAATTTTGTCTAGTGTGCATGCAAGAACGGTAGCATTCCGGCTAATCCGGGCGAATTTTGTGAAAGTGCTCTGTTTGTTTTAAACTTTTTAAATGAAAAATAAAAAGTAACTCTCACCTTAAAGTCGTGCATGTCCACGCAGGAGGAGTAGTTGGTCCAGGAGACCAGCGTCTGGCTGTGCACCTTCCACGTCCCATCGGCGGTGCAGGTCTTGTGGGCTTGGTCTGGCGGGAAAAAAATAAATATGGTAAAAAACTTTAAATAAATAAAACTTACTATGATGATTGAAGCCGTAGACAAAGTAGGGACACTGAAAGTGGACCACATCGCCGGCGGGCGTGTCATTGAAGCAGGTCCAGCCGTCAAAGGTGCGGTCGCAGAAGGGGCGCGGTACTGAGGAGGGTAAAAAATGTTATTCAAAAAGATTAAATTTTTTCCATCAATAAGCACTTACGCTGACTGGGCGGCTGCGACAGCACCCGATCGACGCACTCCACGAAGAAGGTGTCCGCCTCGCGGTAGTACGTGTACTTGCTGGTGATCATCTTCTCCCGCATCTCGTAGATCTTCAGCAGCAGGTCGGGGGAGAGGGCAAACTGTCAAAAGGGGAGGGGGAAAGTTTTATAAAAGAAACCAAAACATTGAACAAACTCCAAACCACCACCACTCTTACCAGTCGGCGCGACTCGAGCCCACAGCGACTGTAGTCGGCCTGCAGCTCCCAGGCGCCCTCGCTGCTGCAGCGGCGGGTGGCGTTCGCCGAGGCGAGCTTCTTTTCTGTCAGAGAGAGGAAAAAGATGGTCATTGAAAAATTAAACCCCAAAAACCCTCCCTCCAAAAGTGTACTTACCACTGAGTCGGTAGCCCTCCGCCTGCAGCACCTCACCGCCGCCGCCGACGTCCAACTTGAGCAGGCCGCCGTGGGCGTCTTCTACTGCAGGAGTGGGCGGACTTCCAGTGCCCATCTGATCGTCACCACCCTGATCCTCCTCGACCATTTCCGGCGTCGTTGAAGAGGGGGTGAAGAAGTTGGACGATTCGTGGTGGTCTGAATGACCACCGCTATGACCTCCTCCTCCTCCTCCTCCCCCTTCTCCCTCCTCCTCCTGAATGGTCTTCAGCAGCTCGAGGCAGTTGAGGCGGACGACGCTGCCGGCGGCCGTCTCCGGCCACTTTGTGACCCCATCGCAGTCCACCGGGCAGCTCAGCGGTCGCCGCTTTCGCTTGCCCGAGCTGTTCAGTTTGCTCAGCTGCCGCTTAGAGTGCCGCCAGTTGTTTCCAATGGAACCGGTGGTATTTGAGGAGGAGGAGGAGGAGGTGACCACCACCGGTTCGGCAATTTCCGGAAAGCTGTGCTCACCTCCGACCACATCGGTGGAGGTTGTTTTGGCCATCAGCGGATAGCGACAGTTGAAGTAGCGGCTGAAGAACTGCGAGGGCTTCATGTACAGGTGCTGCTGCTGCTGATGTTGCTGCTGGTGTTGCTGCAGTTGGTGATGATGATGATCACCATTTCCACTTTCCGCATTTAGAGATCGCTTGATGAAGAGTGAGGCAATGGAGTTTAAGTCGGAGGAGGAGGAGGATGATAAAGGAAAAGATTCGGCCCTTTTTGGCTGTCCTCCCGCCACAACAGAAGCAGCCGTGATCGGGATTGCTGACAGCAACAGCTGTGGCGGTAAAAGAAAATGGAGGGAAAATGAAAAATTAGAACAGTGTAGCAACAGCAGAAAAAAGTTGTGAAAAGTTGCTGCTGGACAAACAGTTTTTTGCTTGTTTGTGCTTCTTTCAAGGTTCTCAAAGCAGCGAGCACACATGTCGCGCGCTAATTTTGCGGTGACAGTGACGTGGTGTGTGTTGCTTGAATTCCGCCACCACCGCTTCCTCTAATTAATAGATTCTCGTAATTAAATAATAATAATACTGTATCAGAGGAGAAAGTGTAGCAAGTCAATCGGGCGGAAGGAAGCTGCTGCTGCTGCTGCTTCCCACTCTCTCTCTCTCTCTCTCCTCACATTGACACTTTCCAGTTTGTTGAACGATTTTTGGGTGGCCTTTTTCTGTAAACTAAACTAGGACAGTGGAGTAAATAAAAAGTAGGCCAAACAACAGGAGGCTAGGTTAGCAGTGGCAGCAGCAGTGTTGACAGTTTGACAGTCCAATCAATGGACGCCGCCGCCGCCGAGACCTTTGTTTTTCGCAGCAGCCGCTGGTGCTAAACTTCTTCCTCCTCTTTTCTCTCTCGCCGCCGCTGCTGCTGCTGCTAAAAACTGTCAGAATCTCTGGTGAGATTAGTGGACAAAAAAGCGCTAAAAGCAATAGCCAAAAGCAGGGCCAAAATGAAACAATGGGCAAAACCGCGAGAAAGAATCAACCGAGCTAGTGTTTTCTCTTTTTTTGCTGAGAATTTTCTGGGAAAAGAATAGAAATAAAAAGAGATTGAAAGAGTACTTGACTGACTGGAACAGAAAAACAAAGCAGTGAGAGAGAGGGAGGGATGCCCTGAGAGAGAGAGGGAAAGGGTGCTCCAAAGAGCAGCAGAGTAAACAACAGTGCAGTATGCCATTCACGAATCCGTCTGCCCCGACAATTGAAGAGTCGCGCATTTGCACAGTAGTCAATATAAATATTGCCGCATTGGGTGGTGGTAATGCAAATAAAACAGTGCAGGAAAGGGAAATCACCACCACTGTGCAAGCAAATAATAAAAAAGCGGTGATTCGAAGCTTCGAAATACTTTTCTCCCTACTTAAACACTGCATAAAAATAAATTCCTAGCCAATGACTGACTGACTGTGGTGTGTTGAAGGAAGGAAGGCAAGATAAATAGCATATCAATTATTAAAGGTCGACCCCGTCTGTCATCTAGGTTCGAGAGGAAGCGAGAGTGGCATAAATATCAAAACAAAGCACTAAAAGGCAATAACAACATTGCCGGCAAAAGGGCGCACTACTCTTGAGCCTAGACTCAGACTCAGGCGGCTCAAGTTTCTTTTTTTTCTTTTATTCCGGGCTCAGATGCCAAATTGAGCGTGAAAAAAAACACATTTCCAAATCAGGAAAAAACAGAAAACAAAAGTAACTTACCCGAATCGTGAGAAGGTACAGGCAAACACGTGGCAGCCAGTGGTGGTGAAGAAGCTTCGTGAGAAGAAGGTCGTTTGATGAGGAAGTTAAGAAAGAAAAAAGAAGATGATCTGAGTGTCTCGGTGTTCGCTTTGTACAGGTTGTAGGTGATGAAAAAGATGATGATGATGATGATGAAGAGGAGGAGGAGGAAGAGTTTTGAAGAGGGTAAGTAGAAGAAGAAGAAAAAGAAGTTGTGGAAGTTGTAGTAGCTCTTTGGCGGCTCACTGAAGTGACTGTCGGCGAGAAGATGCCGGTGACAAAGGAGGAGGAGGAACAATTGGATGATTGGTGTGGACGATGGTGATGATGGTCGTGGTGGTGATTGTGGTGATGATTCACTGATGATCGAGGTCGGTGGTGGTGGTGAAAGTGGTGGTGACGATGATTGAGACCTTCCACTTCCTCACCATCACCTCCTCCGCTGTCGACTTGATCCACCAACGTTTGATGACAGGTGGCACAGGTGGTGATTTGGGGCAGCCGGTGCCGGGAACAGCCACCAGACTCAAACATTGGGGAAGAAGTTGCCATCGTTTCACGTCTGGAGATCATTTTCACTAGGTGATGGAACGATTTGTTGAAGATTATATCTCAACGATTTAGAAAAACGGGAGAACAGCAGATTTTGGCGCAAACAAAAGTGAAGAAAAATCGGTGCCTGAGGGCCCTTCACAGAGGACATTCCAATTTGACCAGCAGAAAAAAATGTTTCAATTTCGAAAATGGTTTTTCACTTCGAATGTCTTCGGTGATGGTCACTGAACACACACAGCACTGTGCCTGTGACTAACTAAAGATGACTGACAGGCCAGGAATTCACCGGAGGCCACATTTGTGGTTTTGCCCAGCCTGAAGACATGAAAGCTGAAAAATCATCACCACTTTTTAGCTCTCAACAAGTGAGTGCATCGCCACCAGCACGTGATGCCATGCTATAAAAAAGTGAGGTAAGTTGTCGTTGTTCCTATAAAAGAGACGAAAATAGAAACACAGAGAAGCAAAAAATTAGTTAGATAGATGTAGTGCACGGTTTATAACATTTCTAAAAAGCAAAAAAAGGTCGCAAGAAATTAATAAAGCCAAGCGGCAGGAGGTTAGGCT